TTATCTGGCTTTTCTTATGTGTACATCTTGTCGTTCAATTATATTACAAGATGCTGAAGACACAATCTTTGAATGTCTGTAGCTCATGAAACATAGTAGACCTTGAGTGCTTATGAATGGATTAACTGTCGGGCTTTTTGACTGATGTGAAGATAGAAAGTGTGAATGAGTTTCAGAGCTAAGAAAAGAATCCCAATCTTCTAAATGCAATCACTTGGGAAGTAATACAGTCCACAATTTAATAAAATATCCATAAGGCATCAAACAGCAAAATGCCATGTGGAGCAGTTTCCTTATAAGTATTTGTTCAGCTGAAATAAATTAATTGTGTGGTCCCCTCTTTCCAGGAAAACAAATTGACCAGGCTGACAAATACGAGGCAGAGACATAAAAAATATGAAATGAATTTAGACTATGTAAGAATCCAACCTAACTCAGCTTTTTACGAACAAAAAGTTTAATAGATCCTTAGTGAATGAATAAATCAATGAATTCAGACTAAACTATGTCTGGATTGCCTGTTTGTCTCATCTGAAATAGTCATAATAAAATTTTTTTTCAGTCTTCATTTCTTCCGGCTATGGAGTCAGTAGTAATCTCAAATGATACTTAGGGTACGACATCTCTTTAATGGGATGCTTAAGTAATCACAGCAATTTAATTAAAAGGGCAGTCATGTTTTAAAACAGCTAGTGTTCCCTAGAGTGTTACAGTTTTGTTTTCACATTCCTACAGCTACCTAATCCTTCCATTCATCACAGTTTTCTGTTTATTTGTTTTTTTATTTTTAAAAACATTATGCAGTCTTCAACTTACCACTAGACTTTGTCCTAAAAGTTTTCTCCTCCAAATATGCGGTCACTCCTTTCCATTCACATTTGCTAGTTCCCTCTCCAATGCTAGTGGTTTTTCAGAGCTCCATCATTCACCTTTTCACCTGTTGTTGATTTAAATATTCCTTCTGAGTGACCTGTTCATTCCTGACACTTCAACTACCTACTGCATCAGCACCTGACAAAACTGTAATTACATTTTCCATCTCTCTTTAGTTCCAGACCAACGTCTTCAATTTGATGTTCCATGGGTACTTCAAAGACAACCTGTCCTGAATCAGAATCATTCTTTTCTCCTCTATGTACCTTCTCACCCTCCTGTATTGCCTGCTTGTTTAATGGTGGCATCACACAAACTGGTCACAAAGGCCAAAACCTTAGTGTCATGCTTAGTGGTTTCCCACAACCTCACTGCTTAGATAAAATCAGTACAGTCTAAATATATACAATTTTTATTTGTAAATCCTCCCTCAATAAAGCTGGAAAAAATAGTTTGAAGCTTCATTGATTCTAACTCAGATTCTAACATCTCTGTCTACTCCTCCTTGGCACCAGTAGCATTGTCTCAGGCATCATTCTCTGTGGCCTCTTCCAGTAACTTCTTAATGGGGCTCAATACCTCCTGTTCTTTCCACTCCGGTTTGTCCTCTGCATAAGTGACCCTCATCCATTTTTCCTCCATGAAAGGCAGTGTTCACAGATGAGACCTATTTCTATGGGCTTCTTAAAAGGTGAAGAAAGAATTACAACCAATCCCTCAGAGATACAAACAATTATCAGAGAATACTATGAAAAATTATATGCCAACAAATTGGACAACCTGGAAGAAATGGACAAATTCCTAAACACCCACACTCTTCCAAAACTCAATCAGGAGGAAATAGAAAGCTTGAACAGACCCATAACCAGCGAAGAAATTGAATCGGTTATCAAAAATCTCCCAACAAATAAGAGTCCAGGACCAGATGGCTTCCCAGGGGAGTTCTACCAGACGTTCAAAGCAGAGATAATACCTATCCTTCTCAAGCTATTCCAAGAAATAGAAGGGGAAGGAAAACTTCCAGACTCATTCTATGAAGCCAGTATGACTTTGATTCCTAAACCAGACAGAGACCCAGTAAAAAAAGAGAACTACAGGCCAATATCCCTGATGAATATGGATGCAAAAATTCTCAATAAGATACTAGCAAATCGAATTCAAC